AAACTTGCCCTGCAACTGGCCACGCTGGGCCTCCCCTGTGTGTAAGGATAAGGGTCCAGAGGTGTCATTGCAGCACCTTTCACCAGCAGTGACAACAAACAACACTCAACCAGGACAGGGAGGGTGTGAATGAAGAAGCCCAGTCTTGTTATTGTGCATTCCAACTGGTAACCAGGACTTCAAATTGGGAGTGGGGTTTCTCCATCCCATGGGGTTTCTATCCCAGATGGTCAAAGATTTTCTGTCTAAAAGGTTCAATTTTTGATGCAAAATGGCTTTTTGAATAAATAGGACATTTGGGGGAAATGTTCATTTTCATTTAAAGAAAAAAAGAGTTTTAATTGAACAATTGAAAACTGATTTTTTTTGAGTTTTCAACCCAGACCTTTTGGTTTTCATTGTTTTGACAAAAAGACTAAAAATGTTTGTTTGGGGTTTTTTGGTTAAAATTATTTGGGGGTGGGGGTGAGGTGGGCTGGGGGGGAGAGGGGGAGAAATATGTTCCTAACCAGCTCTTCTTTTTACATAGATATGTGATAAGTGTACATCTAAATACATACATATATGTGTATGATACACATGGTGTTTCTATGTCTAGATATGTAATTGAAGGTTATTATTTTAACCATCTCTCTCTATAACATATACTGGGGAATTGACATCTATAGACCCTGTGTTTTCTTTGGGATAGGAATGGAGCATTAGTCTAATTTGGAATATCCTGGTTTGAGCTGATTTGTGTCCCAACTAGGTCATGACTGGTCTTTAGCTCACCGTCATAAGAAACAATCAATTGAATCTTTTTCAATAGGATAATTATCTGATGATCGTAAACCCCACAGAAGTATGTTCCTGAATCCTCTATCCGGAGCTCCGTCATGGACACAGAAATCCAGCCTGTTCCCAAATTTGTGAGATCGACCCTTCTCTTTGGTGCAATATTTAGGTATTTCCCTCCCTTTGCTCGGATGGTCAGAAAGAGTCTGCTGTTGCATCCCTGGTCTGACAGCATCTTGCACCAGAATTTCTCCTCTAGTGAATACTTGTCATTATCGTAGTAACACGTTGTACTGAAAGAGCTTCCCTGTACAGCTGTCACCAATTCCAGCTCCACTCTGGCCAGGCACGGCCCTGCCAAGGAAAGAAAATATTGGTGAGAATGACCTGCCCATCAATGCTGCAACTTCAGGCTGCTGTGACTGGTTCTCCAAGCTCCCATCTCTGTGTAAAGGAGCTTCTGTGGTGAGACTCGATCCATTGCCACTGCCTCCTTCCCATTCAACTTCCCATGTTCTTCCCCACTGTGAAGCTTATGTCCCCCGATCTTCATTGCAGGTTAGCATGTGAACAACTGATCAGGAGCTAGGCTGGCTCTGTCTGGTAAACTGGCACTGGTCTGATCATCTAATCCTTGAA